AAGAATGAGGAAGTGTGGGATGTCTGGAGGGATGGTGTTTGTCTTCCCAAGCCGCTGTCACATGTGATGGAGCCCTGCTTTCCTGGAGACAGATGAACTACTGCATGCTGATGGGAAGTGATGAACAAATTCCTTGGTGCTTTGCTTGCATGTGTGGCTTTTGCTTTCCCCTGTTAAGCTGTCTTTATCTTAACCCATCAGTTTTCTCACTTTTTACTCTTCCAATTCTCTCCCCCATCCCACTAGGCAAGGGGAGTGGGTGAGCACTTGAGTGGGCCTTAGTTGCTGGCTGGGGGTAAATCATGACAAAAACTTTCATGGGTGTATTACTTACTAAACACCCTGTCAATCCATCAAGGCAGCAATATTGCTCTTTGCCATTGTTGCAACTGAATTATGTAGTTTTATGCAAGTACTGTGCAATTATATCGTAAATTCTGTAATCACTGGGTTACATAGAAACATAAGTTGCTGCTCATTTTTACTGTAATTAGTCCAATATCTTCCACAGTATTTTTTGTTTAAGGTTGTTTATTTGTCATGTTTTGGAATTTAAAATTGCTGTCAGATTTCCATTTTAGTAGTGCATCACTCTTTTAAGCAGTTGTGGGAAAAAGATGAAAAAATCCCTTATGACTTTATGATAAAGTCATAAACACCTTTATCTAAAATGCTATGACTGAAACTGTAAGCTTTCCTATCTCCACCCATGAAAATGGTGAAAATCTGATACTATTCTTTCATACAAAATTGGATAGTTTTTTGGAAATAACAGTTTTTTGGGAAAGACTTCAATTTTATAAAGTAAGGTATAAATTGGAATCTTTTAATATATGAACTGCTGTCCACAAAAGATTCTACAAACAAGTCAAAAAGTTAGAGACATATCTAAAGAACAGTTAAAAAAAAGTAGGAAGATACTGATTCGGAGACTGTCTGCATGTGTATGTTGTACATACTCAACGGACCAAGTGTTTTTGTGTTGCTCTGCTCATCCACTAAACTCTCAAATCAAAGAATGCAGTACATGGATTTCCCTTTCAGTGGTGCTAAATGAGTGAATGAAGTGATTAAACGTTTCGGTGTACTTCTCTTATTCAGAAAGAAATACATACGGAGCAGCATATTTTAAGGAGCACGGAGCCCATTCCAGATAGTTAATTGATTTTGTTGTCAGATTGAACTTCATATCAAGGACATGTACACAGCTTATAATGGAACAGTAAATTATTAGTATATCATCTGATGAATTGTTAGTTGACTATTACAGATTATTACAGATTAAAGTAATTAAAGAAGTTTATTAAAATAATTTGATTATTTTTATGACCATGACCATATCCATATGCAGCACCTGTACTTATGCATGTAACGTGCTTTTAAGAACTAAATTGGGTAACTGCATTTGAATCTTTATCACTTACTTGCTAACATAACTACAACAGAATGCCAGATGTGTTGTTCAGTTACTCAAGTGACCTCTCTTGGTCACAGGACATTTTAGCTAGGATGGATGTGACCGCATGACTAGTTATATCCAGAGGAGCTATTGAAGGGCTGCTGCTTATAATGAATAGCATTGCATTTAAAAATATTGACTCTTTTCTCTCTGACAGATTTTATGACATACTCATCACATGCCATATGTAGGTCTATGTAACAATATATATGTTGTGGTTATTTCCTTCAAACAAACTCAAGAGTCTCGCCCTCTTCTACTGCCACCACTTCAGCCTATAAATTGCATTACCTTTCTATTTAGGAATATAACTTCATGCAGAAATACTAATCTGTAATCAAATTTCAGGCCTAGACAATGAGCCAGTTTCTTGGAATTCCACAAGTGGGAACATAAGGCTAGTGTCTCACAGTTACACCACTAGCATTAAAAAACCAAGTGGGTTAGCTTTTTAGCAAAGAATCTCTTCAATTCCTAAATGCTCAGAGGAATTTGTTTCAATTTAATTCTTAATTTCATGTCAGAAAAAGCAGTGGAGGCAGGGGAACCATTTGGTAACACTACAACCACCCATCAAGAATAATAACAGGTGAAGTCATAAAAGGAGCTTTTTTATTATCAAAATCTTTTTTTCATCTCAGAAAGTGCAGCTGCACCTGTCTGATAGATATGCTTGTACACTGAACTGACCACACTGATTGCCAAGGAGCCCTGCTGTGGCCGATGGCTGGGGCTGCAGTGGAGTAGCTGGCAAGAGTAGGTGACTTTCTCCTCTGTAGCAGCAGTCTTTGCTCATGGTGTGCTCCAGCCCACTGGACTGGCAGCCCGACAGGCAACCAGTCCCTGCCCACTAGTTTAACTGGCCACAAGACTTCAAGTGAGCTTACAGGTTGAAAAGAGTACAGACTGCCTTGCCGAGCTGTGCATCTGAAAATGCTTTGGTCAATTATTCTCCTTAGAGCAGGTAAGAAGCAGCCCCTGCGGAACTGCACACAGCACAAACTGAATGCTGAAGTATTCAGGGAAGAAAGAAATGCTCAGAGAGTACACAGGCACTTCATAAGCTTTCTCACCGTGTAGTTTATTCCAAGCGGAACTCGATGCAGTAAGTGTTATAGTAAGATTAAAGGGGGCTAGTTTCCCTGAGTCTTGGAAAAGAGTAACCCATTCTCACTGCAGCAGCTGAGGCAAACTTGTCTGCAGGAAGTAGAAAACCTATGCATTCTTCCTCAGCCTGTCTTAAACAGTGCCTCTCTTTTCTATTTGGTTCAATACAACCTCAGAAGCTGAGACATTTAGCTGGATTCTACATACATCTTTAGTGACTTGACTTCACTCCCCCCTCGACTATGGAGAAATAAGTCAAAACTTTAATGATGGGTTCCAACTTTCCGCTAAAACCGAACCTGAGATATTAAATTCTAAAAGCCAACACACACCTACTCTACAGATCCCTGATTAATTCTTCACTAATCACAGTCATCAAAGAAAGACATGTGCCACTCTAAATCTCAGTTGTATTGCACTTCATTCTCCCACATCTTCCTTCTAGGAAGTTTCAAGATCAATTTTAGAGTTACATGGAGGATAGTGTTACATACATACATACATTTACTATTTTGCATATAAACTCTTTTCTACAGAGCTGAGAAAATCATCAATATTTTTTTCCTCTCTTTAATATAAAAAGAGTTCAATTTGGTTTTTTTTTTAATTGATGATGTGTTTGTAGTATCCCCAGAGCCCCCCACCCTACTTACTACTAACAATGAGAGGATCTTAAAAAAAAAAAAGCAAGTTTTTTACAGGTATTGACATAGCAATTGCAGTTCAAAGAATGGTTTGTAGAAGGGTAGTGGGATGTCTGTTCAGCTTCCTCTCCCTCAAACAAAATAGGCAAAAAAGATACAGACAACTTGGCTAAAATAAAATATGCTAACACAAGTTGATAAAAAACATTTTCTGATGACTGCTTCATCCTGTAGACATTGTACAAGCAGAGGATTATTGTTTGCTTATGTTGGTCTTAATACCACCACAGAGTCCTTTTCAGCTGCTGTAAAAGTAAGACTCCACGTGAAGGCTGGCCCTGTCCTTTTAATCATATTTGGATACATAAAATACTGGTTTTGCTATTAGAGAGGAATGTGTAAACTGCAAAAAAGATGTAAGATGGACTCATCCAGAAATCAAAATGTGCTCCTATGAAGAAAAGGTTTCCTCTACTTTTGATCACCGAGAGTTTTTATGAAGCAAACCAGCAAGTAGGATTAGATGAAAATACCGTGGTTTTGATATAAGAGATTCCCGCAGAGGAGGGTATTATTAAAATTTACTGATTATCTAAGGTTTCATGATAGGAAAAAGATGGTCATGAAAAGACTTCTCTTTGTTATTGAACAGAGGTATTACTGATGTCAGTGCCATATAAGCATAGGAAGCTAGTGGCCTGGAAACTTGCCACCACGTGGCTAAAAAATTTCACTTACGCAGTTCGAATGGCAGCAGCTGCTTTAATTTTAAAGTGCAAGAATTAAACAAACCATGACTTCAGTGGGAGACAAACGAGCCCTAAGCTTGCTTATTCGATCCTCTTTTGTATTTAGCATTTCCTCCATAGTCCCCCTGTACCAAGTGTTTGTTAGAGTTGACCTTGGTACATCTCAAAAACACTCAGAAACACATGCTGCCAAATCCAATGGCCAATTGTTTTTAGAAAGGGGATACTGTTCCCCTTTGGACTTAACTGTAGCCTCATCCTAACACCAGCCAGCACTTTCCAAGCCTGTATTTTCCTCTGCTGCAGTACATCCAATGTAATCATGTTTAGTACTTTCCAAACAACAAAGCAGATGTTCCCTGTAATGCAGTTTTTGAAGAATGCACACGAGGCTCAAGCCAGTGACAGTGTAATCCACCAAATGCCTGCAAAGGAATTCACATCGCCTCTGACTAACAAGTTTTCTTACTGAAGTCATTTTAGGGGATGCCAACATTAAGCATAAAATATGCAGAAAAAAGGCCAGATACTGCCTTGAGGGACCTACTCGTCAATGCACCAGAAACTACACAGTGACTTTTCTTTTAGAATTGGTGGAGAAAAAGTGCACATGTGTAAAATATACCTATTGCATTTTAAGACATTTTACCAGCAAACTGTTTCAAATTAAACCCAGATGAGTAATGGTAAAGCAATGAGGTTTTCCCTGGGTTCAGTAAAAGCAGCTGGTATTGCTGCTATTAATCATGTACGTGTGCATTAAAAGGTCTTGTATGCTCGAGAAATGCATCTCAGTCAGGTAGTAGCAATGTACAAAAGCCTCTGGGACCTTTGCCTACGAAAAAAAAACCAAATTGCTTGTTGCTGATGCATCCCTGCATGCTACTTGGATTTGAATGCATTTATTCTGACGCTCTCATCAATAATACCTTAAAAATCAAATACCTCATAACTAAAGTCCTATATTAGTGAATAACAACACTCCTACTCTGAGTTTTACTTTATGACATGATGCTAAAATATATACACCTAACAACACTCAGTATGCTACTAATTGCAAGACCACTAAGCTGCAAAGAGTTCTTTCAGCAAGACGAAATAAAACAGGTCTTGAAACACTGTTTTGAAAAGTACCATATCCATATCCATCACTTTACCCTAGAAAAGGGCTTGTGAAGACTCTAGGTATGGCAGATCTAGAATTGGCAAAACACATTAATTCCTTAATATTAGTAGCCCAGAGCTGTTTTGTTTCAGGCAAATGTGACCGACAAGTCACTGTATTTCTCAGGCTTGCACAGGAAG